ATACCCTTCCATGACTGTCCTGCCGATTAGGGACAACAGAAGTTATTTACGTGTGGTAATGAATATTAGTTCCACACTCGAGCAGTAGTCTTTACTATCGGTTGATAGTTTCACCAACTACCACAAACCGTTATCATTCAACTCTGATCTGAAATCGAGCCCACTTTTGTGGACTAATATAGCCGCGTTGAGTGCAGCAACCTCACTTCGGTAACTTTTGCAAGTAGTAGTCAAGATTTGGCGAGAATAAACCGAAGAACATTGCCATTTTTCAGAGTCGTGCTTGCAGACTCGATCGACCGGTTGGTAAGGACAGCGAATACAGTGGTGCACGTTGTAAAAACAAGTTGTTTAATTCACCTTCCGTCGTCTTGACTCATTACTGCCAAAGTAACTGGGCGGGTTTGGGAGAGGCTTTAGGTCAATGCTGCACAGACTTCCTGCACTACAAACTGAGGTCGCAATTTTTTCCTACGGGTAGCGGTAGCCGTCGTTGTGTTTGACTGCTGAGTGTTCTATTTTACTAATTATTCTTGTCAAAGCACATCGGACTTTTGGATGTAGGAGAGACACGGTGCGTCTGTATTACAGCTTGCGACCGCGTGCTAAAAGCTATCGGCTTATAATCTCACCACCCGTTACTCTGGTAAGTTAGTACAAATGCCTCTTACTCTACCACTGCTCTGGCGGAACTATCTTGAAGATGATAATGTCTCAAATAAAGTCTTCTCGTAATCACTAACGTATTGTAACAAATTATTTGGCCCGTGACGAAGCCTTAACGTGGGAGGGGGGGGGAGAGATTCAGTCCGAATAATATGGCCGCAGTAGGCAGGATGAAGCTTCATCGTAGATGTTAGTTTCAACAACCTCGAATCTCTTGCCGTGTATCTGAAACGCAGTTTATTCTGCAATAGGTGGTGCTCTTCGGATCTTTTGTATTGACCACATTGGCTCTTACATGGAATTTTCTGGTTTTGGAGGTGAACCGTGACGTTAATGTAGTCGAGATCATAGCTAGCTCTGCTTTGTTATGTCTATTCTATTAACCGTCGGGTGATTTTCCGTCCACTTTTTGCAAGGGCGGATGCGACTAGGTAGATATAAGC